TTCGTAATGGTAAACTTGAGGTCATCACTTCGAAAATTTACCGACGCCATCATGATTTTTAGATGACAAAGAATATATTGAACTTGTAGTGGTCTCAATCTTTTTATGACATCACTGAATCCTATTTATAACCAAGCCTGGACTAGGGTATAGAAATATGGTCACTTGGATTTTTCTCGTCCGGAAGTTAAACTCATGCATATAGGGGCGTTGCTGTGCCTATGTGGGATATACTTGTAAATACTCCGACACACCGAACACCTCGAGTCTTGAAGGGAGAGTGTCACGCCCTTACCACGTTAGAAAATCATTGTTATAATTTCCGCACGTGGTTTGTTGCAGACTAGTCTTTCTGATCCTTTTAAACATATCCTATTTTCCAGTGGATGTCCGATTTTCCCTCCTTTCATCCAGGTCGACGCATTTAGCAGAACCCATCTACTGGCTTGAATGTTGATCAGTTCTTGCCCAGGATATACAAGGCATAGTTGCTATTTGGCAATAAGCAAACAGCAATCAATCAATCTGGTATCTTGTGAAAGTAGCCTTTTTGAATCTATAAATGTGAAAACGCTTGTGATGCGGGTTTCGCACTTTTACCATCTATTGCGAAGCTGCATCACGGTCCATGATCCGCGCTAGGGTTATTGGACTTAAGCTAAAATCGATTGCCTCACTAGAAATAGGGAACAATGCATACCACTAAAACATATCACAAAGCACAAAATTAAGGTTTGATTTATAAACTATAGCCTTTATCGCTGACCTAGGTTCGGGTTTAATGTCAACAATTCCACTCTCCATCCTTATTAAACTGTACATTATCCTTATGTTCAGCAGCAATAAACATGGATCTGATACATGCGGATATTCCATTAACGTGAAACAACTGAATAAGCTATAAATGACAGATAGTGATAATGTTCAAACAGTTATATCTTGTTGTTAACATCCGTTTCGAAGGTCATAAAAATAGATGACAATGTCTGTTGGTGTATATAGCATTTCGGTCATAAAAGACTATGAAAGCATCGGTTCCTCGATGTTTTAACAATATTAAACAAGAGTGCATACGCTGAAATGTCTCGCCTGTTTTACTGATCATGATTGATTTCTTGTTGAAAGTCTTTAATATAAAACAAATTAATATACGTATCATATAAACTTTACATTATTAAGTATCTGTTTAAATAAGGTTAAGGTCAGATTAACACTTCAAGACGGAAATGTATAATTTCTAATCATTCAATACAGCAGAGCCTGCTCTACATGTGGCATCCGTCGTGTTGCTCATGTTAGTACAAATCCGGTAATAAGTCTAATTCGGTAGGTCACATTCGGGAAAAGGGGACAGGATTGTAGTTACGACATTAGGAACATATCCGCTAACATCTGTGAAAAGGATAATCCATAAGGGTCAACCAACTCGGATTTATTTCAACTTCACCACTTGGAACTTTTGGTTTAAGAGCTTCCTTGTGGGCAGCAACCCTCTATCAAGGAAATCATGATAAGAAATACAAGCCAAGGAATATCGTGTCAACTGGGAGATATATACTCCGTATGCAGGCGCTGCTGGAATGTTGCTACATAGAAATGGAAAGTTCACAATTGGATAGCTGAAATCATCTCTTTTGTCGTAAAGTTTTGTAAGGTTCTATAAAAGAACCTTAACACAAAAACTGAATGTCGACGTAGGAAACGTGTTGCTCACCTTGGTCTATGTGCATATTCCACAAAAGATACTCTCCAACATTGTAGACGAGAATAGAATTCATGACAGAAATCTGTTTTGTTGATCTTGTATTGTTGATCATTTAGTCTGTTTAGTGTTCCTCTATCTTCTTTAGATTTTGCTCAAAACACAAAAGAGGGTAAAAAAATCCTCATTTAAGAGCAATCACTCCTATAAAGAGTGACAGTCTACTAACTATATCGGCAAAATTTGACTTATTAGATCTTGCCTTGCTGATCATTTTTTGTGATTTAAAGTGTCTATTTATCTATTATAATTTTAACATATAAGGCAAAACGCAAAATAAAATGGTAAAAATCGTCAATAGAGGGCAATAACTCTGATAAGGAGTGGTCAAACGATTTCCCCCATATATTCTTAATTGTAGATCTTGTCTTGCTGATCCTTTTTGCTTATTTAAGTTTCTATCTATTTGTTATAACTTTTAAGATATAAGACAAAAACGCAAAAAAAATGGTAAAAATCGTCATCAAAGGGCAAAAACTCTAATAAGGAGTCGACTGACGATTTCGACCCTGGAGACTTAGTTGTAGAACTTGTCTTGCTGATCATTATTGCAATTTAGTTTCTCTCTATCTATTATAGTTTTCAAGATAATAGGCATAACTCCTATAAGAAGTCGTCTGACAGTTTTGATGTATATGAACAATTGGTAGAGCTCAACATTCTGAATATTTCTGCTCCTGTCAGACTTTCTCTATTTATAACGGTTTTCAAAATAATAGATAAAACTTGCATTTTACCCCTATGTTCTATTTTCAGCCATGTCGGCTATCTTGGTTGGCAGGCGGGGTCATCGGACACATTTTTAAACTAGATACCCTAATGATTGTGGCCATGTTTGGTTAAATTTGGCCCAGTTGTTTCAGAGAAGATTTTTGTAAAAGTTAACGGATGACGACGACGGACGCCAAGTATTGAGAACAGCTCACTTGGCCCATTTGGCCAGGTGAGCTAATAATGAAAATGAGGTCAAGGTCAGAAGAACCCTGCCAGATGGACATCTACACACTAATCAGTTATTGCAGACATAAAATAAAGTTTACATAATCCTTATAGTATATGAGAAACTGACTCAATCACGAAAACTAACGTTCACCAATGAACCATGAAAATCATTACAAGGACAGACGAACATGACTTAACTGCCATGCACACATATCAATCATTCTATACACCAAACCCAGTTGGCATATTGCTTATAGTATCTGAAATAAACTGTTATCACAGAGATATGTCTCGCCTTTTTGTAATTTTGATAATGCAAATGTTGAAATCAAAATAGCAATACTTTAACATGTAAGTTATGCAAATATTCAAAGTCGATGAACCATGACTGAAGGTACAGGGCTAAACAATCTCCATGGAATGAGATGTGCCAATGCTAATACAACAGCATACCAAATACCATTGACTTATAAGTCGTTCCCTTTAAACTAACCTAAACACAAACATTAACTTGTAAACTATGTAAAAGTTTCAAAGTCAATGAACTATGATTAGGGGTGAGGCTATATAATCTCCATGAAAATGAAACTTGCAAATGCCAATACATTTGCATACTGAATATCATTGACTTAACATTAGTGGTTCATCTTAAACTGACCTAATCACAAACTAATACATGTAAACTAAGCAAAAGTTTCAAAGTCAATAAACCATGACTGAGGGGTAAGGACCATATATTCTCCATGGAAATGAGATGTGCTAATGCTTATACAAATGCATACCAATTATCATTTACCTACCACTAACAGTTCCCCTTAAACTGATCTAATCACAAACTAATACATGAAAACTAAGCAAAAGTTTCAAAGTCAATAGACCATGAATGAGGGGGCGGGGCCAAATAATCTCCATGGAAATGAGATGTGCCAATGCTTATACAACTGCATACCAAATATCATTGACCTACCACTAGTGGTTCCCCATAAACTGACCTAATCACAAACTAATACATGTAAACTAAGCAAAGTTTTAAAGTCAATAGACCTTGACTGAGGGGGCAGGGCCAAATAATCTCCATGGTAATGAGATGTGCCAATGCTAATACAACTGCATACCAAATATCATTGACCTACCACTAGTGGTTCACCATGAACTAGACCTATTCACAAACTAATACATTGTTGACGCCGCCGACGCCGGAAACAGCATACCTATGTCTCGCTTTTTGACTCCGTCAAGGCGAGACAAAAACTAACCAAAGCATGAAAACTTGAAGTTGACCAATGAACTATGAAAACAAGGTCAAGGTCAGATGAGCCCTGTCAAACAGACATGTACAGTGTGCAATCATTACATATATTAAAATATAATTGACCTAAAGCTTAAATTAGTTTAGAAAAGGACCTTACTACACTAACTTCAATCTTGATCACTGATCCATGAAATGAGATAACGGTTAGGTGAACCCTGCCTGTCAAACAGACCTTGTAATGAATCTATATACTAAATGAACAATGAAAATCAGGATACAATGGTCATATGCTAGATGGAAACTTTGTAACATAAGGCATACGTATTCAAGATATGAAATACTAAGTGTCCAGTTCTTCTTCTTTTTGAAATATAAAGCTTAATACAAATATTTTACGGTCAGATTCCCCGGTCTCGTATCCCGTATCATTTTTAGAAGGCAGTACAAAAACAATTTCTCAAAATTTACACGTTTTTACTTTTCTTCTTAGCAAATAAAAACAACTTCATATCAATATCCTTTCTAATTAAACTCATTTGGTGTAAGTTTTTAAATTGTTTTATTTATTGGGGGTTAACTTATGCCAAATCGGGGCATATACTACATTCTCTATTCAATTCTAAATTTTGGTTGTATTAAACTACTTCATTGCCTACCATGACCTGGGTCTACATTTCAATGCAAGTCGATTTATTTCCAATTATGGGTTACTTGACAGTCTTTGTTTGCTTAATATCCACCTATGTCTCACTTTTTGACTCCATCAAGGCGAGACAAAAATGTAAAAATTATCATTTAAGCACAACAACTTCTACAAGTAGTCATTTGGAAATTTTGGAAACAATGGACAGAAGGCAGACTTTAATTCTATGAACATTTCTGCTCCTGTCAAAATTTCTCTATCTGTAAAGGTTTTCAAGATGATCAACAAAACATACAATTTCCACTAAAAGCAGACAACAAGTTAAATATCTTAGATAAATAGCACAGCCCATACATGCATGCATGAGACTAGAAAACTGAAAGTTAAAAATTAAAAACAAATAATTAAGGCATTTTATATATTCATATATATTTTTTCTTAAAGAAGCTGCAATTTCAAATTTGAAACAATCATATACAATAATGCTAAATTGAAAAATACATAAGTCATTTGTTTCATACAGAATTAATATAAGAAAATCTAGGTGACATGATTATATGAAAATTGCAATAAGCTGTGATTTTATCTACGCTAGATATAATGATTTAAGATGTGGTAACTGAAAATATCCATAAAAAGTTAAAAAAAAAAAAACGTCAGTTTTTCCTTTCCATATCCTTAAAACATACTCTTCACACTACTGATAAAATGAAAAAATGTTAATAGAAATGATGTAAGTTTTCATTCATAAAAAAATAACATGTTAAATACATCTATCAACACCCATTATAGAAAAACTTTTTTTACACCAATAACAGAAAAAAAACATTTCAATTAAACATCACAACATAAATTTTTTATAAAATAAAAAATAGTTAAAATATATTTAATAAAATAAAAAATAAATTTACTCACAACACAAATGAGGGTATATAACAGTCTTAAAAGAATCAATTCAAGCTTTGTACTGCTTAATAAATCGGATAGTAAAATGAAGTATTTCTTCAAAACATTTTGTATTTATTACTTTTTTCTGTTTGTAAAAACAAACCCTAAAAAACATTTCATTCAAATTTGAATGAAAAAAAGAAGATATATTTTCAGTTGCTTTTATTTCCTTAAACATTGACAAAAAAATATTTATTTAATTTCAGTTAAAGTTCTGGAAAAAAATATATTTTGCTGAAATCTTGTTTTGCTGTCTTTTGTTACAGTTACGGAGTTATCAATAATTTAAGATTGAATAAGACATAGATGTTAAGGAATAATTTTTACAACTTTTATCCACATGGGATGCTTTAATTATTCAAATGAGTTGTTTTAATTTTATTTCATAAATAGTTGAATATAGCTATATTAAAATAATGCTAAAAATGTAAGCTGAATTAAATAAGTAAAGAACTGTAGACAACGGGATATAGTAAAATCTGTATTCATTGAAATTTTCTTAGTGGCTTGATTGTCTACTACTGGTAATAAAAATAAGATTTCAAGATGATTTGAAGTAATCAGTCGATTGTTTGACATAAACAAAATTTCACAAAACAACCTATATTAGAAAGAAATAAACCACAAAAAAATGACTTTACAACATATAGTACCTGCCAAACACCGATATGGAATTTTTCAAGTTTGAGGTATTTTTGTGTCAGCTAACAAGATAACAAGTTTAACAACTCTCTACATGAAATAAACTCAAAATAATTGATAAATTACAAAATATGCATTATTTCTTTTCAAATCGTTTATATGTTAAATCTTATTACTAATTTATTATTACAATTTCTATTACAGAGCAATATCTACATCTTATTTAAATGATGTTTGAGAAATGACAGCTGTAATTTTCCTTCATTTGGGAGATTCCAACCTCTTTATTGTTCTTGATTAATAATATGATGAAATACATATGATAATAAATCTTCAAATGGAATCCTAACTGATATACCAAAGACCTATAAATTTTCTTTCAAAAAGTTTTACTGAATCAAGGATCTTACTTTATAAATCCTTGATTTACTTATCATTTAGATGTGGTTTATCAAACAGTTAACTTTACTGGTTGACGAATAAAAGTATTATATATTTATTTAAGTGGAGAATGTCATTGACTTGCCTACAAAAAAAAGAGATTAATGAAAATTGATTTATTGTTCAATATTATTTATTATAGAAAATGTTGTATAAATATAAGCATTGAATAATCTGTCCATGAAATCTCTATTTCTTCACCTTTCTAGCTAATACAAATCAAATGCACATTAAAAGGATTTTGCTAAAAAAATCCAATATAATTCTAAAGAACAATATAACAAAATATGGCAGTATTAAAAAAGATAATAACTAAGTGCTAAGCAAATAACATGGGCATTAAAATTAAAATTAGAATTACATCTCAAATGATAGCAGTCTCCTCGTTACTGATTTAGAAAAAAAATGCTTAAATTAATTGTCAGTATATGTAACTAGGTGCTATGCATTGCAAACAAATCTATGTCTTACTTAAGTTGCTCTGTGTAGAACAGTGTCATTCTATTTAGAAAGATAAATCATTGTGCAAACTTATAGGACATACATGTACTTTGAGAATGATAAGTGTGTCACTAAGAAAAATGGTAGTTTGTTTATATAAACTGATATTGAAATTGAGGAACACATGCATTTAAGAATTGAGACAAGTTTAAACATCTCTCCCAACACAACTTTGCCTGGTGTTTCCTGAAATTGCTACAACATGGCCTTATAAAATTTTCTTTAAGTCAAAGGTACAGGGTAAATTAAGTGTTAAGTAAATGGAGATAACAAATGACCAAATTTTCAGATTTTATATAAGAGTCCCTGTGAACAGTAACAAGATAGTTGACAAAATAAAGGCAGAAAAAGATCACAGCGTAATAGATGATATTTTTTTTTATATCTAAAAATTTTCACTTGGACGTAATTCTGATTAAAACTTTACTGGCATTTACACACAGACTTTACACAATATACCCAACATTAATATCTATAATGAACAAGTCGTGCTCTTTGATAATTAATCACAGGAAAATAATTTTATCTTTCTTAGATTGTCAGATATTTATAGCACCATAAATGTACATACATCAACAAAATCAAAAATAAGAATGATTCTATTACAGTGTTTTGATGCAGTTGTTATAGAGTTTCACTAAAATAATTCATATGAAAACATTCAAATTCCTTTCTGATATACTTGCAATGCAAAATTACTAATAGATTGGAAGGAATCCCTTTGAATAATAGTTAAAATTCATTTAAACAAATCTTTTCTATTCTTTTCTCAGTGAAACGAGAATATTACTTTAATGGAGCCTTGTTGATCTTTATTTGCAAAGTCTAATCTGATAATGCATATTTTACTTCAATAAATAAATTACATTTATTTCTAAAATAACACCCTTCTATGAAGGACTTGAAATAAAATCTTTATAAATTTATTTTCATGTAAAGTATTTTAAAATATGTTTTTCCATCTTACAGATCTATGTTAAAATATTATAAAAAAATCAATAAAACATTCGTATAAGCTTCCTGTTTCAATTTATGTTTTAAATAAACTTGCAGTATGTGTGTGTGTATATTTATGTGTATATGCCAGACCCAAAAATCTAAAATAGCTTTAATATTGCTGCAATTTTCCAAATGACTTTACATAGACCTCCATTCAGAATAGTTTGTTGTATCTTCTCTGGTTATGTTAGATACAATAGAATTAGGTTTTTTGTTTCTGTTTATTAGTAGTACAGCACTAGATAGATATCCACCAGTCTTGCTGATCTCCCAAAATCCAACCTTGTGCTTGGCATACGTAATCTTTTCATCCAGTATCTATAAAGAAAACATATAATTAGCACAAATGCATCTCAATATATATGCTTGTAATGAATACTGTAAACCAACTTATTTTGCAAAAAAAAGATATTTCCTGCTAAGCCCTTTCTAGCCAATTTTAAGACCATTTATTTCTCAGATTTTCTAATTTTCCTGATTTGTTTTTATAAGGAAAGATCCAAGTTTTACATACTACTGATGATTTATATTAGCATTACATTTCTACTAGAGAAAGATTTTTAAAAAAAAATTGCTCACGAAAATTAGTTGGTTTACAGTATAGATGATGGTATAGTAGTCTATATTAAATGAAAATGAAATCTGCTACCTGCCAAAATGTGACTTTTTCAATAATTGCTTATAACTGGAAAAAGCTCAAATAGCTCTAATTCAGATCTCTTTAGTATGAATACATAGTAAGAAATGAATCTATGTATAACTTGCTAGTTTGAAACAGTTTCTTAATTTGTAATGATTTTCCTTAAAAATCTTATAAAATCTGACAATTGTTTCAATGATTTAAAAATAACATTTCTGCCAAAAAAATATTTTTTTCTAAGTTGACATGTTAATTTTATGCTGTTCTAGATTCAAAAATTAATGCTATTAATTTTAGCAACCATCTTTAACTTGATAAAAAAGGTAATTTAATATCAAAAGCAGTCAAATATTACATGAAAAAAGCAGGTACATGCAAACAACAAATGAAGTTAATGAATAAAACAAATGTATTCCATGCTGTTAGATTTGACCTTTTAATCAAAACATACCACAATTCTTCCATCACCATTTTGTAATCAAAATAAAGAAAAACAAGTCATAAAGTTTCAAGGTAATTCTATATTGGGCACGATTTCACATTGTAGGTTGTGCAGTTGTCTAGTAAATGCTTAGACCTACATGTACTTCTGATATGCATGAGAATGAAAGTTTATTCTAGAAATTAAAAGATGTACAAGTAAAGTTTAAGCAAATGACAAACATTTTCAAGCTATTAATAAATACCAATATATGAATACAATCAACAACAAAAATATCCTAAATAAAATTGAATTATAAAAATAAACAAGCAAATAAACAATCAAATTGTCAAATAAAGAACAATGCTGTTTTAAACTGACTGAAATTCCATCCATCTCAAAAACATGCATAGTAAACACCCAACTTTGTCATACTACCTTTCAAGGTATGGTGGAAATAATTTTTCGATAAAGGGTATTGCCAAGTACCAACAAGACACTGCGGATGAGATTTCCACCTGATTTTGTAAGTTCCTTACAAACAACTTCATGATGCAAACCATTATGATCTAAATTATCTTGAATAGCCTGTATGGAAAAATGCTAAAGCTATTAACGTTACAGTTTTCTCCTTTTCAAAGCCATGTTGTATATACAGTAAAGCATGTATACATCATTTTTTTGTAAATGACATAGCATTCATGAATTATTTGCTCTTGCTGCATAAAGCATTTAAGAGTTACCTCCCATTGAAAACCATAGTGTAATGTTTATTTGTGGGATTTTCCTGTAGTTTTTACTGATTTTAAACTTTTATAGATTACAAAATAATATTTTAGGATTACATCAAATCCATATTCCAACTTTTGTATAAACTAAGTACTGCCTAGATATAAATTTACATGTTTCTTTTATGGCCTTAAGTGTTTACACTCTGTAAACTATTACACGACTAGTAAATTAGTAACAATTAATAAAATAAGCATCTTGTCAGATTTAAATGGATAATTACATCAATGCTGTCAGATAAAAGGAAGTACAGTAAACAATATTTATATTTCAAATATTACATAACTTTACCAAATAATATCATTTCAGATTATAATCTCAACTAGTTAACACTATAGGAACCATAGGTGATCAAGGATAATGAATTGAACATGATTTTTAATGATTTCCCCCCTGAGGAAGGACATGCTATTACACCTGTCCAAACAGAAGTTCAAGGTTAGAAATAAGCACAAGCCAGCCCTAATAAGCCAGATAATAGTATTTTGTGAATGTGTTTATCAATCATTTAGCAGTTGAGTAGAACCCACCAGAATAAATTTATTTAGTTATTATATATGTGCAAATTATTATTACTATTAGTCAAGATGTTAACAAAACAGTGTATAAATACATATATACAATATACATGTATGTGTGTAACCTTTAACAACAAAATCAAATGTGGTGAAAGTGTGTGATACAAATACATTAAGTCGACTCTCATTTCATTAAACGTTTGAATACAAATCAGTTACTACTTTTCTCTCATATTAATTGACATCAAAAATTTGTTTAATTCATATTTATAACTAAATCAAATATATTTTTTAATCTTAAAGTTTTAAATTATCTGTGTTGACAATTACCATAAAACAACAGCTGAATTTGAATATTTTGTGTTTATAATGAAATATATATGCATCAAAAACTGCAGTCAAAGTGTGTGCATATTACATTTACTTTTGGAGAAACACTATAACATTTTTAGTTTTTTTCTCTTTACATGTAGGTTTTACAGACAATATAAAATACATACACTATAACTTTTTTCACCAATTTCATCTCTGCTTCTGTGTATTAGTCTACCATTTACATACAGCATATTAGCTGCATCATCACTGTCCAATCTTAATATGCGATACTTGTACTGTGCAAGACTTTTCATTTGCTGAAATGAAATGTAACCATGTTTCTTGATCAAAACCATATCATTTTTATTTTATTTTTTTATTTGCTTTTGAATAATAAATATCTATAAGCCCTAAATTTACTTTTTGTATAATAAATTGGTTTCTCAGGCAATTTAAATTTCTAATTAACCACCTTTATGTAAAATTCAAATATACACAAGATACAAGATATTTTATTAAACAATCATGGTGCCAAAAATTTGAGCTATACAATCAAATGAATTACAAAAAGTACATTTAAACAAAAACATGTATACACATTTAAACAAAGTAACATATACACAATGTCATTGACAAAACATTAAGTCATTTAGAAGCCACTGTGACCTGGAGAAAATACGTTTCTTAATCAATTTATAGACCTCAGCCTATGGGAGACAACTCCTGATCGATTTTTAAAAATTTTTCTATTATTCAAACTACATTGATATTTTCTTGAAGTTACTTTTGTTCCTCAAAAAAGGGAGTGCAATAATTTAGATAAGTTTGAAGTAACAAACAAATCTTCAGATGAAAGAATCCAAACAAATTTCATCTCATCAGATAACTTTGAAAAAATTTTGAATTTATAATTTAAATTAGACAGATGTTGAGATCTTGTATCTTTCAGAACAGGACATTTTAAAAGAAAATGTAGTTCATTTTCAACTGTGTTCTTACATAGCTTACACTTTCTGTCTTTAGCTTTAATACCAATATACCTCCCTCTTTCAATTTCAAGGTCATGGCAGGTAGTTCTAAATCTTGTAATTATTTGCCTGTCTTTTTTTAAATTTATTCTTAAATATGGTTCAAACATTAAAATATTTTTTAATTTTCTGTAAGTTCTTAATTTATTGCCCGACTGTATTCTTGGTACTGTTCCCAGAATTACTTTCTAGACTAGCTACCCAAATTTTTTTTAAACTTTATTGTTAGAGAATTTTTTTACTTTTTTCAATATACAATATGGTTTGTTTAAAGTTTGAATGGTTTAGAAATAGATAGTCTAAATCTAGGAATTTAAATATATGTCTAATGTTTCCTATCCAAGATTTCTGGTAAGATTTGTTTATAGAATGGGATAGATTTATGGCCTCCCATAGGATAATATTTGAAGGTTCAATTTCTTTCATAAGATGAATCCAATACTTTATACACAGAGGTGACTGATCTAGCAGCTTTTATATTTAAAGCTGGCAACTAAAAAAAAACAAGAATAACACTGACTCAAGACAAGGTGTCTTTACAATGTTTACAATCAACATGTAAAAATTCGCTCAACAATTTAAAGAGTAAGACAATTTCATGCTTTATAAATCTTGTGATTAAATAAATGTGTTATCCAGTATATACACAAACAAAACATCAAAGCATAATAAATCCATCTTCTTGCAGTTTTTTTCTTTATTGCAATTGGTAATGTTCTAATATGTGACATGGCAAGTAGCTGATTTTTGTACAGTGTTCTTAATAAGGATTTTTTTTTCCAGAGACTCAACATTTTGGCCAGGTTGATCACTGAAGTTCTGTAGAGAACAATAACAATGTCTTACTCAATTATTTAAGTCTTCTTATTAAAACAAAATGAGAAAAATTCAAATCGATTTCATTTTATACAAATGTATTTAAACCTTTGCAATGAAATGGTGGTTACTGGCATTGGTTAAAGGTTATAGAGGCATCTCTGATATCCTCAGTAAAGTAAAAGGGGTGAGTGTTAACTTAAGAAAATACAATTTTGATGCATCTTTGGACTCACCAGTTCAGAAAACTTTGAGTTTCATTACATTAAAATGGTTTATCAGAACTGAATCTTGTTCAGATCACAAAAGTGCTATAATACATACATGTACATGTACATTTGTATACAATAGATGATTTATATAAAAAAAAATCCCTCTTGGAGAGAATTTTCAAACCAAATCCTGTTTAATGTGAGGGATTAACTATGAAATATCACTAAGTATATTTACTAAGTAATATACAAATATATGAAAGGGTCATACATCAGTGATATTATCTCCAATCGACCTAGTTACTGTGAACATGATATGCATGGTGAAGCACTGAACTTAATCATTTTATCTTTACTGTATAACTTGACTTTCTGCTAACTGATGATTTCACTCTGTTGCTTCAGTTTTTGGCAGAAATATTCAAATATGCAGTTTGATATTATATTAAAATATAAAATAACTTAAGTTAAAAAAAAATAATATACCTTAAATGTTAGAAGAGCTTCCTCACTACTTCCAACAGCAATGATATCCCATCCAGCCATGCTAAGCATAGATTTCAGTCTTCTTGATCCTGGTACATTTATAGGTGTAACATTGTATTCTGGGAAGGCATCAACTACAGCCTGAGCACCCTTCTCATTGGTCCTTCTACCAGTTCCAATACCAACAAATATCTCTTTTCCTGTAATTTTAAGTTATATACATTTGTACATCTCTTTTACCATGACACTTGTTACTTGTTTTATAAATATACAAATATATCCTTAATGCAAAAAAAAATATGCGTTTCCTGCCTCCTAATTGACCTGAAGTTTGATCGCCGACCCTTAAATATTTTAATGCCTTTCCAAAAATACATTCCAAGAATTTCAGAAATAGAGTAATGTGTTGTTTGAGTAGACTAGGAATCCTAATTCTGCTGGACTTTTCACTTAAATTTGTAATAAGTTTGACCAAAATCGCATGAAAAAGTTGTCCCAACATTGTCGACTACAAATGTACCATTGGTTGGCCTGAATTATCAAATGTTTGTGCAAATTCGGTTCAAACTTGGAGATAACATGTGTGTTTTTCAGGATTTTGTCGATATACAAACAAAAAAGGATCCAGACCAGCCTGTATTATATACTTTATGACTGAAAGCAGAAATATATTTTGTTTTTGCCGCATCCCATATGCGTGCATGAATTGGAACAAAATATTTGAAATACAAAACATATCCAAAAAATGAAATCCAATTGCTTAATGATAACACTTGAAATTATTTATGATCTACATGTACAGACCTTTCAGTTTCTTGGTTATTTAATGTAACCCTTACCCGTAAATAATACATCTCCTCCTTCCACAATTGCATCAGGATCTCTAATTTCTACAATGGTCATTTTCATCTGACTCTGTAAATATCTTCTGATTTCACTAACCTGTAAATACATGTACAATGTAGCTGAAAAAATTGGGAGACCTGTGTAACCATTTGTGTAAGTTGTAACAAGGGCCTGAGTGTTCATGTTGATATGACCAATTTCTAAGCATATTAGTTGGCTCAGTGGTCTCTTATTCAGGGGGTTGTGGGTTAAATGCCTGGCCAGGTCAATCCTAAGACTAACTTTGAAAATTGGTTTTGCTGCTTTTAAATTAAGCATGACTTGATGTATGTAAGTATTGTTTGTTGACCTTTGTTTTGTCCGTTTTTAAAGGCTCCTCAGACCATAAGTTTGTTATTGTCTTGCCTATAATGACTTTAAATAAAGCTTTATATCCAACTTACTTTTATGTCTTATTTCATAGATGTTTTGGGGTAGGGAATATCTGGGACTATTATACTAACATATAGTATAATAGTCCAAGGAAATATGCCCCGGTCAACTGGATGGGGTTCTAGAATACACCAATTTAAAACACATTCCAGTCGACCCTAGCATATTTCAGACCCCAAAACATCTTTGATGCAATCCTCTGACTATGGATCATTGTCATGCCCTGTGAATGTGATTATGATTTCCAATGGTTTTTATACATGCACTGAATATTTATCTTACCTCTCCTTGTCTAGTTTTACTTCCAGGTCTGGTTATAAGGGCTGTATTACCAATAGCTACAACACAGTCGTCAACAAAAGGACATTCTGGGTATTCTTCTGTCCCATCAAGCTCAATCGTTCTCACATCACATTTCTTCAGAGTCTCCACAAGATCTTTGTGCTCTTTACGCGCTTTTTCCATGTCAATCTCTGCTTCTGGATCAAATTTTCTTGCACTATTCTGAAAACTGTCAGGAATCCTTACCAAAATGGCAAAATTGTATTCAAACGCGTTACATTCATATCTGTTAGACATTCTTGCTGCATTCAATGATTCAGAAGTTGTTCAGTGACAGTGGTTGCCTTTCTTGTTTCCACTCGGAAGTGATTTAACTTCCGGTTTTGACGTCATGTTTGTAAACTTTGAAGTTGCCGGCGGGCAGGTGCTTGTCAAAAATGTAGGACAGTTGAATGAATTGTTATTATACGTAAATTAAACATTGTAAAAATGAGAAAATAGATTTTTGTTTCATTTTTTCTTTATTTTGGTTGTTTTTACGGAAAATATATAAACTGAGATACTATACACATATTGCAAGGATTAGCTATATACAAATCCTTGCATCAGAGTATAGTAATATCATATCTCAGATATGAATAAAGATTTGAACTGAGAAATAAAATTATATAACATACATTTCCCAGAATAAACCAAAGAAATGTTGAGAAAATATAAATAGAATAGAGTGACTCAGTCGAGAAAATAATAAGTTAACTTGAATTGGGATAATAAAAAAATACAGACATGAAAATAACTATAAGGGAAGAATATAGAAATCATATGCGGATCAAGGAATCAGATCAGAAAGCTCTTAAATACCGTTGTCTTTATCAGAGAAAGTCTCTGTCTTTATTTACTTAAAATTGTCATGAATTGTAACCTGATTGGTTGTCAGGGATAACTTTTCAAAAGTTAAAACACTTTAAAAATAATCTATGAAAGTATTCTTGAAGACTGTAAATTTTCAGAATTGACGGGTATATGAGCGGACGAAAAGCATTCAAATTTAGTTGGACTATGATCTTTCGGACTTTCATTGTAACACTTCTTAAATGTCATCTCTAGCTCAAATTTTCCATGTAATTATCATTTAGTTTTAAGGCAGTGCTCAGTCATTTAATTTGCGACAATTGCTATTTTCAAAATGTATCATTTAAGCAAATGTTATTTTTCAAAGGTATCATTTGCGCGAGAGACATATAATTGTATTATACGTCTCTGATTGCGCTAATTTACTTAATTCATTTAAGCCAATTTACCTGTACTAATATTTATCGTACATGATAATCTTAAATTGTGGCTGCATAAAATGAATACGGGAATTCGGGACTACTACTGCAAGATATGCCAAAATGATAAGAACGTAGAAGCTTTTGCTGATTATGTGGTATCCACAAATGTTGACAATGCTTTTTTTTCATATCCGTATGGCCTGAAACTCCAACATCAGCGTGATGTACTATTGATGGACCAGATAGATGCATTTCATAAATACTACAATGAATTATGTTTTTCAACACAGAAAAGGACTTGAAACATTTGCCGTTGAAAAATACCAGAATTATACGAGAGAATTATAGATTATCATCGGTTTGTGGTATCCATTACAAATTTCACCCTTCAACATAAGTATGTTGTCAGGCTGTAAAAAGTTGCATACTTTTTAAAAAGTTTCACTCAATCAATGTGAAATGCCGGTCCAACACTGGATAAAATGGAAGAGGGAAGTTTTTTTCATTAAACTTAAATGACAAAATCGTATACTTTATTTTTGGCACAAATGATACTAGGCATGTTGGAAACTAGTGGGGAAAATGAATTTTGGCGCAAAAGGACGTTTTTTTTTACGCAAACGGTTTCTCCCGGTTTTAATGCAGGTTTCTACTAATCCGATAATGGATTTTATATCGACATGTCACAGAGAGTTTCAACAGATTTATCTTAACAAAAGACATTGATTACTTAATCCACACGTATATCTTTATCATTATGTTTATTATTTATATACTTAAAAAATAACTTATATTTAGCTTTGGCCGAAAAGGACGCTAATATGTAAACACCGAACTAATCTCATTTATATTCTAATTCGTTACCTCAAACAAATATAAAGTATTTATAAAATAAAAACAAACACTTGTTTCATAGGAATAGCTCGCCAGCATGTGCAGCTTACAGTGATTATTTTATTAAAACAAAATTAAATTTGAGTCCCGATGTCATCATGATAACGGCAAAACCGCTGCGTAGTACACGACAGCCTACAAAATAGAAAATCAAAATGAGAAATCATATATACATATATAGGTCTTAATGATCAACCAAACAATGTCATACTGGTAGTATAAATATCTATCTTCTATGCGTAAAAACATTTCAAAAATACAAGCATTCAATAGGGGGAGGAGAAGGGGGGGGGGGGGGTCTTTACCTAAACTAAACTGCACTGTACTGAACGGTATACGAGCTTCGAATGACAATATATCTTAACTTACTTAAACAAGAAAACTATTCGCGCTCTAAAAATCCCGTACTATTTACAAATATCATACTCAATATATTTACGCAATGCGACAAAAATTGACCAATCCGAAATATCATATATTTAAAAACACAAACCTAGCTGTTTATTTAATATAAACACCAATAGATGACCAATATGCGGACACACACTCACGTGTGATTGTTTACATAATAGAAACACGTGTATGCTCAACTTTAATAAATACATACAGCACATTGTTTTTCTTTAATTGTTTAACATTTCTTACCGATATAACATGTTACTTTTATTATTCTTCCCTTAGTTTATTTATTTTGTATTTACATTGTATCATAGGTCAAATTTATTTGTTCAGTGTATGTTCAATGGTGTTAATATGTCCTTTGATTGAGTTAAGCTATTTCAGTTGATATTTTATAGTGTGTCTTTCTATGTTGTGATGTTACACTATTGTTTCAGAAAAAGGGTGAAGGTTTGGTACCATTAAAACGTTTAAACCCGCTGCATTTGTTTGCACCTGTCCTAAGTCAGGAATCTGATATTCAGTAGTTGTCGTTTGTTGATGTGGTTCATAAGTGTTTCTCGTTTCTCGTTTTTTATATAGATTAAACCGTTGGTTTTTCCCGTTTGAATGGTTTTACACTAGTAATTTTTGGGGCCCTTTATAGCTTACGGTTCGGTGTGAGCCAAGGCTCCGTGTTGAAGACCGTACTGTGACCTATAATGGTTTACTTTTATAAATTTTGACTTGGATGGAGAGTTGTCTCATTGGCACTCATACCACATCTTCTTATATCTATATATTCTTTTTGGATCGTTTGTTAAGAATATTGTAATTTTATTTTCAAAGTTGCAAAAGTATAACCTCCTCCAAAATATCCAAATATATGATATATAATATGAATGTTGGTTAACTTTGAATATTGTATGTTTGTAAATATTGTCATGTTTGTCTTGGTAACAATCCAATATTTGGATTTTACACCAATAAAATTGCATTTTCAAGATTAAAAAGTATACGTCTGCCGTCAAAGCTTTTCGCATAATTTTAAGAGGGAGTTAGAGAACTGACTTCTCTATTTCTAATACCTTTTAACTGATTAATATATAAGATGATTAATATGCCTGATTTAAAACTTTACTGAAAGTTTTGATTATTATAGTAGCATCTGGTTAGTATGACCTTCAAACTAGTTTACTCTGTAACACGGCGATGATCGACTCAATACAAATCCGATACTTCATTTTACCCGATGATATAGTTTGAATTCATGATCTGATTTTGAAATTCTTTCACTATGCTCCGTTAAGTTTGCCGTCGCACGGAGTATAGCGAAAGATCTGATTTTATTGACTAGAAGGTTGTTTGATTTTGTGTTATGGCCCTTGAAAGTAAAAAAAAACTTTTACAAATCAGATGACTTGTGTACTGATCTTCAGTATATATTTTGTTATGTACCCTTTTATATAGTCAACTGCTCGAGATTTAAAGGGAAGAATTGAAAATAAAGAAGAACCAGTTTAACCCCTCCATATATGTATTGGTAGCAATTTTTTTCAAAAAATCATAGTCATTAGTTTTAAACAGACTAATAGCCAAGGCTCCGTGTTGAAGACCGTACTGTGACCTATAATGGTTTACTTTTATAAATTTTGACTTGGATGGAGAGTTGTCTCATTGGCACTCATACCACATCTTCTTATATCTAATAAACTTTTCTTGGTTAGTTTACTTTAACACCATTACGGAAAAAAACTCTCCTGATCATGCATGCAGTGTTTTCCCTAGATGGTTGTTACACATTGGAGGCCCATGAACTAACTTAGACCCAATTCTTTTAGTCAATCCTCCATCCTTCAAAATATTGTTTGGGGAAAACACGGTTGATATCAGACAATAACCGACAAACAAGTACAAAATGGTATGTGTCTTCAATTCCATTTGTATTGCAAATTTGATACAATCTAGTTTCCCTAGGTAATTGATTTTCTTGTCTATCTTGTTCTATAGCAAAATTATGGTATAAAAATATACTTTAACAAATTTCATACCTAAGAATATATGTAAGTTTCTGTGTATTTTCATCGATACAAATATAATCTTTTATGTTTTTTTAGTGTTGTGAAATGAACATCTTAATGAGTAGTCTTTCTAACTATTTAAGTCCCTTTTGTTGAAATCATAAAGAGTTTTTAATCTCCCACACATTGATTTTACAATACTATACTCCAAATCCATACAAAAACAAGAATATGTCCATAGTACACGGATGCCCCACTCGCACTATCATTTTCTATGTTCAGTGGACCGTGAAATTGGGGGTCAAAACTCTAATTTGGCATTAAAATTAGAAAGATCATATCATAGGGAACATGTGTACTAAGTTTCAAGTTAATTGGACTTCAACTTCATCAAAACTACCTTGACCAAAAACTTTAACCTGAAGCGGGACAGACGGACGAACGGACGAACGGACGCACCGACCGAAAATCATAATGCCCCTAGGTGGGGCATAATAAGTCTTTGTACCTTTCTGCATTAACTTATTTATTCACATGTTCTAGTTCATTTAATTCATTCAAACAACACTAAAAGGTAACCTGCACAAGAGCAGGTATGAAGGACATCTTATGAATACAAGCAGGGTACTACCGTACTACTACGGCATCAAAGTCTTATAGTTATTAAAACGGGATTGCTGGTTTTCAAGTAAAAAAATGCGAACATCATAATCGATAGTATATATAACAGACATTTGATACATTGTACAATATGGTTATCTATATGCATTAAGATATATAAGTTAACGTCAATAAGACAGAA